TCCTCCTCCTCCTCCTCCTCCTCCTCCTCCTCCGCCTCCTCCGCCTTCCTCTCCACTGTGTATTCCATATCCTCCTCCCGGTCTCCTCCCTCCTCCCTCCTGAAGCCCGCAGGGCAACGAGCCGCGGCCGCGCCCCAGCGCCGCCACCCTGCTCGGCGGCCGGGCGGCCGAGCTCAGGCAGCTCATGCAGGAGCCCAGCGCTTGTCGGCATCCCTCGCTGCGCTCCGGGAGGATTTTCCCAACCATCCTGTGGTGTTGGGTCCTCGCCCCGCGTCTTCTTCTCCTTCCTTTCTCTCTTCCTCCTCCTCCTCCTCCTCCTCCTCCTCCTCCTCCTCCTCCTCCTCCTCATCCTCCTCCTCCACCTCCTCCTGATCCTCCCCCTCCTCGTCCTCCTCCTCCTCCTCCTCCCTTCTCCTCCTCCTCCTCCTCCTCCTCCTCCTCCTCCTCGCCTCCTCCTCCTCCTCCTCCTCCTCCTCCTCCCTCCTCATCATCATCCTCCTCCTCCTCAGTCTCCTCCTCCTCTTCGTTCTCCTGCTCCTCCTCCTCCTCCTCCTCCTCCTCCTCCTCCTCCTCACCATCATCATCAGCAGCATCAGCAGCAGCATCATCATCATCAGCAGCATCATCATCATGATCATAATCATCATGCTCATGCTCCTGCTTCCACTCCTCCAACCCTCTGCCCCTCTCACACTTTTCGCGCCCCCACAGGGAGCTCCACCGAAGGCCCTGGCTGCGTGCGCATTCGCCCACCGCACCTATTTCGGTACGCCCTGCACACGCTGCGTGGCCCCATAGGCAGCTGCACCGAAGGGTCCAGTGGCTGCGTTCACATGCGCCCACCGCACCCATGTCGGTACACCCCTCACACGTTTCGTGGCCCCATAGGCTCCACCGAAGGCTCCAGTGGCTGCGTTCGCATGCGCTCACCGCACCCATGTCGGCACACCCCTTACACGTTCCGTGGCCCCAAGGCAGCTCCACCGAAGCCTCCAGTAGCTGCGTTCGCAAGCGCTCACCGCACCCATGTCGGTACACCCCGTGGCCCAAAAGGCAGTTCTACCGAAGGCCCCTGTGGCTGCGTTACCACGCGCCCACCGCATCCATGTCGGCACACCCCTCACACGTTTCGCTGCCCAAACGGCAGCTCCACCGAAGGCTCCAGTGGCTGCGTTCGCATTTGCCCACCGCACCTGTTTCGGCACACCCCTCACACGCTTCGTGGTCCCAAAGGCAGCTCCACCGAAGGCTCTTGTAGCTGCGTCTGCGTGCGCCCATCGCATCCATGTCGGTACACCCCTCACACGCTTCGTGGTCCCACATAGAGCTCCACCGACGGCCCCAGTGGTTGCGATCGCATGCGTCCACCGCACCCCGTCTGGCACGCCCTACACGCTTCGCGGCCCCACACGGAGCTCCACCGACGGCCCCAGTGGCTGCGCTCGTATGCGCCCACCACATGTATTTCGGCACACCCCTCACACGCTTCGTGGCCCCATTGGGAGCTCCACCGACGGCCCCAATGGCTGCGTTCGCATGCGCCCATCGAGTCATTTTTGGCACACCCCGCACACGTTTCGTGGCCCATAGGGAGCTCCACCGACGGCCCCAGTGGCTGCGTTACCGTGCGCCCACCGCACCCGTTGTGACACCGCCCCATAGGGAGCTCCACCGCATGCCTCAGTATCTGCCTTCGCATGCCACCACCGCACTAATTTCAGTGCACGCCTCACACGCTTCGTGGCCCCATAGGGAGCTCCACCGAAGGCCCCAGTGGTTGTGCTCGCATCCGCCCACCGAGCCCATTTTGGCACAACCACGCACACGTTTCGTGGCCCCATACATAGGGAGCTCCACCGACGGCCCCAGTGGCTGCGTTCGCATGCGCCTACCGCACCCATTTTGGCACACCCCTCACACGCTTCGCGGCCCCACACGGAGCTCCACCGACGGCCCCAGTTGCGCTCGCATGCGCCCACCGCACCTATTCTGGCACACCCCTCACACGTTCCGCGGCCCCACAAGGAGCTCCGACGGCCCGAGTGGCTGCGTTCGCAAGCCACCACTGCACTCATTTTGGCACACCACTCACACGCTTCGTAGCCCCATTGGGAATTCCACCGACGGCCCCAATGGCTGCTTTCGCATGCGCCCACCGCACAAATTTTGGCACACCCCTCGCACGTTTCGTGGCCCTACAGGGAGCTCCTCCGACTGCGGTGCATACAACGACAGTCTTCACAACTGCCTATGGTTGGGTCTTTCGCCAGGCCAATTCCTTGTTTTCGGCCTCTGGGGGCCTTACCGGGCTTCGGGCAGTCGAAAGAAGTCTGGATGGGAAACCAGTTCCAGGGAATGGGTCGAGACCTTTGGAGACCCACGTCATAAGAAAAATCTGACGTCGGGGGTCTGGGCCCCCAGATCTTCGACGATGTGGCGTGTGGTCCATCCTGTCGTTGTGTTCCTCGATTCCAGGCCCTGGGGCCCAGACATCCGGCCGCTCCACTTGTTTCGATGCGTGGGCCCCCGAGGTCTGGACCACTTCCCTGGGACCCGTTTTTCGTCCTGAGTCGTTTTTTGACGCTCCCGAGGCCCGGCGAGGGCCTCCGGAGGTCGCAGACTGCCAAAATCCAGCCGCTCCAATTTTCTGGAGCGTCGGATCTCAGAGGGCCCGTTGTCGCGCCCCAGGGCCATCAAGCATGGTCAATCGGAGATGGGCCCAGGGCGGACAAATTGCCCCCTGCCCTCATGGGAAGAGGCCAAAGTTTCTTGGGCCGCGCACGGAGGAAATCACATCGTCGGAAGTATGGGGCAGGGCGACGAGGAGGAGGAAGAGGAGGAGGAGAAGTAGGAGGAGGAGGAGGAGGAGGAGGGTGAGGACAAGAAGTAGAAAGAGAAAACAGGAGGAGGAGCAGGAGGAGGAGGAGGAGGACAAGAAGGAGGACGAGGATCAGGAGGAGGAGGAGCGGGAGGAGGAGGAGGAGGAGGAGGACGAGGAGGACGAGGAGGAGGAGGAGGAGGAGAGGCGGAGGAGGAGGAAGAGGAGGAAGAGGAGGAGGAGGAGGAAGAGGAGCGCCCCTCTCCCCGCGCCGTGCTGAGGCCGCGCCATCCTAAGGCCGCGCTGAGGAAATCACGGCGTCGGGTGTCTGGCTCCTCGACCTCCAGCGAGGTATGCTGCCGCTCGGGTCGGCGACCCGATGCTGGTGCCAGACCCTCGCGGGCATTGGTTGCGGCACCGCGCCGGATGTCGCCTGGATCTCGCGCGCGTCGGCCAGGGCGCGGATGTGCCCAGCAGTTGCGATCATTGAACCCTTCCTGTCCTCCTCTTCCTGCTCCTCCTGCTCCCCCTCCTCCTCTCCTTCCTCCTCTCCTCCTCCTCCCCTCCTCCTCCTCCTCCTCAGTCCTCCTCCTCGTCCTCGTCCTCCCTCCTCCTCCTCCTCCTCCTCTTCCTACTCCCCCTCCCTCCTCCTCCTCCTCCTCTTCCCGTCCTCCTCCTCCTCCTCCTTCCTCCTCCCCTCCCATCATCATCATCATCATCATCATCATCAGATCATCAGTCAGCATCATCCAACATCTCCCTCCTCCTCCTCTCTTTTTCCTCCTCCTCCTCCTCATCTCCTCCTCTTCTCCGTCCTCCTCTCCTCTCCTCCTCCGCCTCCCTCCGCCTCTTCCTCATCCTCCTCATCCCCCTGCCTCGTCTCCTCCTCGTCCTCCTCCTCCTCTTTTCCCTTCTCCTCCATCTGCCCTTCCTCCTTTCCTCCGCCTCCTCCTCCTCTTCTATTCCTCCCCTCCTCCTCCTCCTCTCATCATCATCATCATCATCATCCTCCTCTTTCTCCTCCTGTTCCTCCTCCTCCTCCTCCTCGTCCTCCCCCTCCTCTTCATCCTCCTTCTCCTTCTCCTCCTCCTACTCCTCCTCCTCCTCCTCCTCGTCCTCCCCCTTCTCATTCTCCTCCTCATCATCATCCTACTCCTCCACCTCCTCCTCCTGCTCTTCCTCCTCGTTATCATCGTCATCATCACCATCATCAGCATCACCATGGTCATCCGCACAGGGGGTGCAGCGACCCCTTGAGGACAGCACTGTCTGACTCCGGCGGCCCAGGGAAAGGCAGACGCCTGCTGCGACAGCTGGGCGCCGACGAGGGTTTCGTGATTGCACCATCGAACAAAAAATAAAAAACACAAAACAAAAACAAAAAAAAAACAAAAAAAAAAACAAACAAACAAAAAACAAACAAAAAAAAAAAAAAAAAAAAAAAACGTGTCACTGCAGCCTCGCGCTTCATGCCGCTCCTTTCCCTCAGCGTCGAGCCCAGGGGAGAAACGAGATGGGGCGGGCCTCCTCAGAAGTCTCGGAAGCCCCCCGGCCTTCTGCGAAGTTTCTTGAGCCTCCCCCGAAGACACGGAAAACAAGTGGAACACTTCTCGGGAGGCCAGAGCGCTTCTGAGAAGCCCCGCCGCCTTCTGAGAAGGCCCTCTCCTTCTCACGTCCCCCCCTCGATCGCCGCCGAGTCCCTCCTCTCCTTCCCTTCCCGTCTCCCCTCCCCTCCCATCCTTCCCTCCCTCCGCTCTCCTCCTTCCTTCTCTCCCCTCCCCTCCTTCACAATGACGCCTTATGAATGCTGTCCTCCTCTCTCCTTTGACTCTGTCCCGAAAATGGTGGTTCCTCTTCGCGTGTTGTTTTTTTTTCAAACCGGAGTTGGCAAAAGTGATGTTTCGTATGGCTGTGTACGATGCAGCTGCGCCCGGTGACAAAATGGTGCTTCCATTTCAGCGTGGGCCTCATTTTCGGATCGGCGCGGTGTTCCCATCGTTGAGAATGGCACTCTCGCCCCAGCGTGGGCCATTTTTCTGGATCCTAAAGGCCTCACAAGACCTACAAATCCGGTCTCGCAGGCCCCACAGGTCCCGCATGTCCCACACAACCCATGGGGTCGCGGGTCGTCCAACAGGTACCACAGGTCTGACAGGTCCCACAATTCACAGGGTCCCACGTGTGTCGCAGGTCCCACAGGTCTCACAGGTCCGACAGGTCCCATGGAGGTCCCCCAGGTCCCACGGGTCCTGCAGGGCCCACTTGCCCCACAGAAGTCCTTCAGAAGTTCTTCAGAAGTTCCACCGAAGTCCCACAGGCGTAGCAGGCCCCAGAGGCCGCAGAGGTCCCCCAGGTCGAACAGGTCCCACAAGTCCCGCAGGTCCCACAGGTCCACAGTTCCCACTTACCCAACAGGTCCCATAGGTCCCCCCAGGCCACAGAGGTCGCACAGGTCCCGCAGGTCACCTTCACTGCCACTAGGGTGCTTTGCGCTTTGCTGGGGTGATCAAGTTCCAGGTCGGCTATGGCACGCGTCCGCGGATAGAGAAGAGACACTATGCACAAAAGGGATGGGAGAGAGAGCGAGAGAGACAGGATGCCAGAGGTGGCGCGAGCGCACCTGGCTTGTCTCTCTCTCTCTCTCTCTCCTCCCCTCCCCTGCCTCTCCTCTCCTCCCCCTCTCTCCCTCCTCCTCCTCCCCCCTCCTCCCCTCCTCCTCTCCTTCCTCTCCTCCTCCCCTCTCCTCCCCCTATCCCCGCACCGTATCCGCAGGACTGCTGGCACGCGGAGCCGGCGAGGCGCCGCGCCCCCGCCCGCGGGCCGAGCGGGGGGGGGGGCGGCAGCTTGCAGAAGCATCGGCAGCGCCGCCCAGCAGCGGGGCAGAAGAGCTCGGCAGACGGGGGGGGGGGAGAGCGAGGAGGGAGGAGAAGAGACGTGTGCACCTGCGGCTTGCCTAGGAGGAAGAGGAGAAGGAGGAGGAGGAGGAGGAGGAGGGCGAGGAGGAGAGCAAGCAGGAGGAGGAGGAGGAGGAGAAGGAGTAGGAGGAGGAGGGCGAGGAGGAGAGCAAGCAGGAGGAGGAGGAGGAGGAGGACAGGAAGTAGTGTAGAAGGATACATGATTGAGAGGAGAAGAGGAGGGAGCGAGGAGGGAGCGAGGACGGAAGGCCGATGAGGAGGAGGACGAGGAGTAGAGGAGGGGGGGCAGAGGAGGGACGTGTCGCGCCTGCGGCTTGCGTGCCCAAGAGAGGAGGTGAGGAGGAGGGATGCAGGAGAGGCAGGAGGAGGTGGAGGAGGAGGAGGAGGAAGAACGGGAGGAGGAGGAGAACGAGGAGAGGAGGTTAGGAGGAGAGTGAGGAGAAGGAGGTGGAGAGCGAGGAAGAGGGGGAGGAGGAGGAGGAGAACGAGGAGGAGGAGGAGGAGGAGGAGGAGGAGAAGGAGAAGGAGGAGGAGGACGCACCACGCGCAGCAGGAGAGACGCCTCGTCGAGTTTGGCATGGAGCAGGCCGAGGCCTACCAGCAAGGCAAGCGGCGCATCGAGGAGGAGGTCTGGCAAGCGTGTGAAGACCGCCGCCAGCACATGGCTGCCGTCAGCCAGGCAGAGCTGGAGGAGCACCGTGCCAGCCACCGCCACCTCGAGCAGCAGGCAGAGCAAGCACAACACGACGCCTACCTGCACCTGGAGTGGGTCCAGCACGACAACGCGAGGAGGCAGTGGAAGATGCAAGCCCGCTACGAGCAGGAGACGGCGGAGCTCAACAGCGCCCGCAGGCGCGCCCTCGTGTCGAGCATGCTTACGAGCGAGACGCTGGAGCTGGATATCCTGAACGACATGGCGGCCAAGCTGGCGGACGATGACACAGTCATGGATCGCGACCAGGCGCTGGCAGCCCAGGAGGAGGACCACCAACGCGAGGAGTTCGAACACAACTTGATGACCATCCTCCCCGCTACGGAGTTCGAGCGCCGGCACCAGGACGCAGCGGTCTACGGGTATGAGCTTGCTGCCTGTTCCTTTGGCGAGAGATCGCACACCTCGTCGAGGCCTTCGATTTCGCCCGACAGCGACTTCAGCCTGCAGGACCTCGGAGTCGCGCCGACAGAGAGCAACACGACCCCACCGTCGAGGGAGCCGCCGCCGCCACCGCCACTCACAACTCCACCGCAACCACAGGGACCCAGGCTCACAGAGGACTCCCAGATGGTCGCAGCCGGCGACACCGACGACGCCGACCGTCAAGACGAGCATCCACCACCGCCCACTCCGACGCCCACTGACCTGGCAGGAGTTACCAAACGATCGACGCCAACACGCCCATCCCGACCGAGCAGCAGACTCCATGGGCGACGCCGTTCCCACCCGCGACGCAGCTCCCAACCCCACTACCCAAACCCGTCCTCCTCCTCCTCCTCCTCCTCCTCCTCCTCTTCCTCCTCCTCCTCCTCATCATCATCATCATCATCATCTTTCTCCACCTCCTCTTTCTCCTCTTCCTTCTCCTCTCAGGTTGTACCAGAGGATGTGGCAGGAACGAGCAGTGGTCAAGCACGGCCGCGCTCGGACCCATTTCGCGCACGCTTATAGTTTGGTGATGGAGAAGTCACTTGAGACGTCGCCTACAGCCTTCGGACGGCACGACTGGCCTGGGGTAATTCGTAGAACGAGACCCCCTCGAGTCATGAAAAACACGACGGGAGGTTTTTCGCTATTTTCGGCCTCGAGGGGGGGCCCTCACCAGGCCTCGGGAACGTCAAAAAACGACTCAGGATGAGAAACCGGTCCTGGGGAAAAGGTCGGGACCTCTGGGGTCGACGCTATGAAGCAAAACAAAAAAGACCAACAACAAAAAAAACAAAATAACAAATGGCGTCGAGGGTTTGGGTAGCCCGCTCGTCTTGTGAGCAGGCGCCATTGAAGTCGTGCTGGTCGAAATCAGTTGCGTTGCGTGCTGCGCCATGTTAGCACAGGTGACCTTCCAGCAGCAACGGCGACGTGAAAGCGCGCATAATGAAGTAATACACAGCGCAATTTTGAAGTCAACACCGCCCCCGCCACTTTATTACCTGTTCAGCCTGTCCCAGTGATCTGGGAGCGCTAATCACTAAGTCAACAGATGGGTCCAAGTTGAATGCGCTTCTGTGGAACAGAGTGATTCGCACATCCGTCAACAGTAACCTTGTGATCTGCGATCATCTTGCAAACTGTTCTCCCGAGAACAGACATGTGAAAGAACAAGGAGGGCGGAGAGAGGAGGAGGAGGAGGAGGAGGAGGAGGAGGAGGAGGAGGAGGAGGCAGGAGGCAGAGGGAGGAGGGGAGGAGAAGCAGGGCGAAGGAGAAGAAGGAGCAGGATGTGCGGGGCAGGAGGATGGAGAAGGATGAGGAGCAGGGGGGGCGGCGGTGGAGGCGAAAGCGGAGTCAGGAGGGAAAGAAACACACAGACACACTTCATCGTCGACTCCCAGGAAACATGGGAAAATATGGGAAGTGGGGGGGAAGACAGAAACCCCAAAAACATGCGGAAATATGGGGAATCATTTTATTTGTGTGTATTTATTTGTGTGTCCCAGGGCCCCGTCAAGGAGGGGGGGAGGGGAGGAGGAAGAGCCAGGCGCGCTCGCGCCCTACTTGACATCCAGCGCTTCGTCCCCACTCCTCCTCTATCCGCGAAGGGGTGTCTGTGCTGGCCTAGAACCCCCAAGGGGACTTCACGGCGCTGCGCACACCAGGAGAGCGGCGGACATCAGAGAAGGGCGCGGCGGACGAGCAGACGGAGGGCGAGGGAGCAGGACGAGGAGCAGCAGGAGGAACGGCAGGAGCAGCGAGGCCCCGGGGGAGGGCCGAGGAAGGGAAAACGAAGGGGGCGACAACGGCGAGGACGCATTCGGGCCCAGAGTCGTGGCGCACGCGGGGGCGAGAGCGACACGCTGAACGACGGGGGGCAAGCCGCCAATCCTGCAATGAGGCCAGCGGTGAGGCTGGAGCGCCATTTTGAAGCACAGAAAAAACGCTCCAAGTGCAAAAACCCAGTTGGAAACTATGAAGTGTTTGGAATCGTGCGTGCGACATGAGAACCGCACTCGGAGAAAGCGGGATAGTTTCAGGACGTAGCCCGCTAAAGAGGAGAACAGTATCATTATTAATATTAGTAGCAGTAGTAGTAGTAGTAGTAGTAGTAGTAGTAGTAGTAGTAGTAGTAGTAGTAGTAGTAGTAGTAGTAGTAGTAGTAATGGTAGTAGTAGTAGTAGTAGTAATAATAGTAGTAGTAGTAGTAGTAGTCGTAGTAGTAGTAGTAGTAGTAGTAGTAGTAGTA